AAATGCCGTCAAATGTGAGGTTAAGTTCAATTGTGGCTACATCGAAAACCAAGCAATTTTAATATTGATTTATTCAAGTATACACAATTGTGGCGCCCAACGTGTAACAATATTTCAATACTCAAAATAAAAAAAAACTTAAAACACAACAGGAAAATGTCGGTCATAATGGCGCCCAACTTAAAAAATTTAATGATAACTTGAAAAATTTAATATTGATTGACTCAAAAAAGAAAAAGTTAAACTAAATGGCGCCCAACGAGGGGCAATGTATAATTTTAAAACATGATAATTTTTTCCATATTAAAAATTGGTTAATTGATGCCATTCGAATTTCACAGACCAATTTTCACATTGTTAATTTCCAATTGGAATAATTAATGGTAAAGTTACCATATATGGCGCCCAACGTGGGGTTACATCAGGACCTGTTTATTCTGGAAAATTTTCAAAATATTTTCTACGGGAACATTTTTTTAACTCTTTTTTCTAAATTATTGTATTTTTGGAGTGTTTTGCTTTCAAAAACCTAAAAAAATTAAAAAAGTTAAACAAAATGGCGCCCAACGAGGGGCAATGTTGTATTTTACAACTGGATAATTTTTCCGAATTAAAAATTCTTTAATTGGTTATACTCCAATTGCAATAAGTAATGCTAAAGGCTTAGAGACCAGGCTTTTTAAAAGTCCAGAAATCGTAAAAATTTTAAAAAATTAGACCAAGGCCTGGATACCTTCAATAGCCTATGAAAAACCCAGAGATCATAAAAAATCTATAAAAATGGCGCCAAAAAGGTAAGGTTAAGTTCAATTGTAGCTGCATCGAAAAGCAAGCAATTTTAATATTGATTTTTTGAAGTACACACAACTGTGGCGCCCAACGTGTAACAATATTTCAATATTCAAAATAACAAAACTTAAAAAACAACTGGGAATGTCGATCGAGATGGCGCCCAATGGTAATGATAACTTGAATTATTTAATATTGATTAAATCAAGAAAAAATAGAAAAATTTTGACAAAATGGCGCCCAACGAGGGGCAATGTTTAATTTCAAAACAGGATAATTGTTTTCCAAATTAAAAATTGGTTAATTGGTGCCATTAATACTTCAGAGACCAATTTTCACATTCGTATATTCCAATTGGAATAAGTAATGGTAGAGTTACCAAATGTGGCGCCCAACTTGGAGTTATATCAGCACCCATTCAAACTGGAAATTTTTCAAAATATTTTCTACGGGAATTTTTTTAACTCTTTTTTCTTAATTATTGTATTTTTGGAATGCCTTGTTTTCAAAGACCAAAAATAAAAATAAAATTGAAAAAGTTAAACAAAATGGCGCCCAACCAGGGGAAATGTTTAATTTTAAAACTGGATATTTTTTCCGAATTAATAATTCTTTAATTAGTGTTATATTCCAATTGCTATAAGTAATGCTAAAGGCTTCAATACCTTCAACAGGCTATTAAATATCTCGAAATCGTAAAAATGTTAAAAAAAATGGGCCATGGTCTAGAGACCTTTAATAGCCTATGAAGAACCCAGAGACCATGAAAAATCTATAAAAATGCCGCCAAATGTTAAGGTTAAGTTCAATTGTGGCTACATTGAAATCAAAGCAATTTCAATATTGATTTATTTAAGTAAACACAACTGTGGCGCCCAACGTGTAACAATATTTCAATATTCAAAATAACAAAACTTAAGAAACAACAGAGAAATGTCGGTCGAAATGGCATCCAACGGCAATGAAAATTTGAAAAATTTGATTGATTAAATCAAGAAAAAAAATAGAAAAATTTTGGCAAAATGGCGCCCAACGAGGGGCAATGTATTATTTTAAAACTGGATAATTTTTGTTTCAAATTAAAAATTGGTTAATTGGTGCCATTTGTATTTTAGAGACCAATTTTCTCATTCTTATATTCCAATTGGAATAAGTAATGGTAAAGTTACCAAATATGGCGCCCAACGTGGGGTTACATCAGGACCTATTCAAGCTGGAAATTTTTCAAAATATTTTCTACGGGAAATTTTTTAACTCCTTTTTTTAAATTTTTGTATTTTTGAACTGTTTTGTTTTCAAAGACCAAACAAAAAAATTAAAAAGTTAAACAAAATGGCGCCCAACGAAGGCCAATGTTTAATTTTAAAACAGGATAAATGTTTTTCAAATTAAAAATTATTTTATTGGTGTTATATTCCAATTGCAATAAGTAATGCTAAGGGCTTCGAGACCTTCAACAGGCTATTAAATATCCAGAAATCGTAAAAATGTTAGAAAATTGGGCCATGGCCTAAAGACTTTCAATAGGCTATGAAAGATCCAGATCAAGTAAAAAATCTATAAATAAGGGCGCCAAATATGCGATTGAGGGCATTTGTGATTATATCGAATACCAAGCTATTTTAATATTGATTTATTCAAATATACAAAATTGTGGCGCCCAATGTGTAAAAATATCCCTATATTCAAAATAACAAAACTTATAAACAACAGGGAAATGTCGGTCGAAATGGCGCCCAACGGTAATGATAACTTGAATTATTTAATATTGATTAAATCAAGAAAAAATATAAATTTTTTTGACAAAATAGCGCCCAACGATGGGCAATGTTTAATTTTAAAACAGGATAATTTTCTTCCAAATTAAAAGTTGGTTAATTGAAGTCATTTATATTTTACAGACCAATTTTCACATTCGTATATTCCAATTGGAATAAGTAATGGTAAAGTTGACAAATGTGGCGCCCAACGTGGAGTTATATCAGGATCTATTCCATCTGGAAAATTTTCCAAACATTTCCTGCAGAAAATTTTTTCGATCTTCTTTTTTTTATAAAAAATTGTAAATTTTGGGTGTTTTGTTTTCAAAGACCCAATGAAGAAAAAGCTAAACAAAATGGCGCCCAACGAGGGGCAATGTTTAATTTTAAAATAGGGAAATATTTTCAAAAAAAAATTGTTTTCGATCTGCTTTTTAATTTTTTTTTTAATTTTGAGGTATTCTGTTCAAATACCAAAAAAAAGAAAAACTTTCAGAAAATGGCGCCCAACCAGGGGCGAAAAAAAATTTCCGTCGTTTTTTATACCCCCAGCCATGTGGCTAGAGAGTGTATATATCATTTGATACGGCCAAAAAGTATCTCATCGATATAACGATTTTAGACCCTAGGTCCCTTTGGACCAAATCCGTTTCAGCATATTTGGAGTCGATCTAGCGATGTCCGTACGTCCGTCTGTCTGGCTAGTGCGCACAATAACTCTCGAAGGGAGTATCCACTTCCATCCAAACTTGGTATATCGTAATATTATTTTCAAACTAAAATCGAGTTCGGAGTTGGTCCACTTCTTCTGGTACCTCCCCTACAAAAGATCGAATCTTTCAAAAAAATATATTTTCTGCACAGAGAGAGATAAGATCATCCAATTTTGCTCCATCTTTGCAAATCCTAATATTTGCATTAGTGCTAGGTCAGATGCGAAAATGGACACTATCGTTCCACTCCATCAAGTACCTCCCCCACAAAGGGTCAAAGTTTTGAATAATTATAACTCGTATAAAATGTGATGTAAGAGTCCGATTGTCTTCAAATTTCACACATCCCAATATTTTTATTAACCCAAGGTCTGGTGAGAAGATGAAATATATAGGTCCATGCATTCTGGTAGCTCCCCCACAAAGGGTCAAAATTTTGAGTAACCATGAAGTTCATAAATAAAACGCGTAATTAACATCTGTTTACATTCCAGGTTATGTACATCTCAATATTTCCATCAAAAGAAGATCTATTATAAATATAGTAGACATCGGACCATTCATTCTGGTACCACCCCCACAGAGGTTCAAAGCTTTGAATAACCAAAACGAATATAAAATCCGAAATAAGCATCCGATTCTCTTCAAATTACGCACATCGCATTATTTCTACTAACATAAGATCTACTGAGAAAATGAGATATATCGGTCCACTCCTTCTGGTACCTCCCCCACAAAGGGTCAAAATTTTGAATATCCATAAAGCTGATAAAACACGGATGGAAACATCCGATTTGATTCAGACTCGGTACATCTCAATATTTCCATCAACTCAACATCTTTTATAAATATGGTAGAGATCGGACCATTGCTTCTGATACCTCCCCCACAAAGGGCCAAAGGTTCGGAATAACTAAAACGATTATAAAATCTTTAAAGGGCATCCGATTCTCTTCACATTTCACACATCCCATTATTTCTACTAACACAAAATCTGCTGTGAAGATGGGATATATCGGTCCATTCCTTCGGGTACCTCCCCCACAAAGGGTCAAAATTTTGGAATATCCATAAAGCTCTTAAAAACGCGAAATTTACCTCCAATTCCAATCATACTTGGCACATCTCAATATTTCCATCAACACATGGTCTGTTATAAATATGGTAGAGATCGGACCACTTCTTCTGGTACCTCTCTCACAAAAGGGTGAAAGTTTAGAATAACCAAAACGATTATAAAATTCGAAATAAGCCTCCCACTCTCTTTAAATTTCACACATACCAACATTTTTTTATTTTTTCTGGGTCCGCTACGAAATGGACAATATTGGCCCATTCCGTCGGAACCTACTCCTTAGAGGGTCAATAATTTGAATAATCATAACAGAAGTCAAAATATATTTAAATCAATGAACATTGGGTGTTCGAACTGAGGATATACCTCTGTCGGCTAAACCGACTGATACTTTTTAACTCGTTTTCTTTCCATATTGTCTCTTATATCCTCCTCATCGATCCCACCTCGTTTTTTTTCCTCCAAAAACCAAAAGACACAACCTAATCAATCATTTGGGCCATAAAAACCGAACGACTACAACAAAGTCTCTTTAACATTTAACAAAAATACAACAACAAAAATAACAACAACAAATTTTTCACAATTGTCTAATGTTATGTTTCTGGGTCTCTCTCTCTCTTTCTCTTCTCTTCTTTTTTTCCCCCAAATTTGTCTTTGCAGAAAAGCAGTTCCAGCATCTCAAATAGTTCGAATAATTCCACAACTGCAATGCAAAACGAAACCACAACGACGACAACAACAACAACAACAACGAATTTCAATTCAAATTTGAATAAAAATTCAAATTCGTCAATGAACACCCACAAAAGTATGGCAGGGAAAAATATAAGCCTACATGCAATTGTTGGCAACAACAACAACCACCACCACCCCAGTATTGGAGATCGAACAACAAAGACAACAGCATCATTGACACCATCACCGACAACGACGACAACACGACCATCTTGGCAACAACCTACCATATTTAGGCAAAATGGTAACAACACTCCTCCCCACAGCCCCCTAACCAGTCAGCGGGGCAGTAGGGGCCAAACGGCACAGCACAGTACCAGTTCCACACCAAGTTCCAGTCATTCGAGCAAATCACGCGTAGGTGACAACAATTGCTGTGGCAGCAGCGGCAGCGGCAGTGGCAGCAGTGATGAATCTCGTCCACACACCACAGCTGAACTTCGTCATCAACAGCCTCAGCCCCAGCATCAGTCACAGCGTCAACGGGAGCAGTCACTGCCATCGTCGCAACACGAGCAACGACAATCACCTCCTTCTGCGTTGTACCAATTGAAACCGCAGAACGATAGATTGACACCAACGCAATCTGTTCAGCTCAGGCCACAACAGCACAGCTATAATCGTGTCGATTTGGAAAGTTTCCGGCATTATGGCAGCAGCAACAACAACAACAACATCATCACCAGCCACCACATTACCAGCGACACATATGCGAATGATTCGGCTCCGGCTCTTTCCACCGATCATCAGCATCATCATCACCATTCCCATCATAACGACGATGATGGAGATGGTTTACGGTAAGTTTTATTTTCAGCAGCAGAATATCAATATTTTTCCCCTACATTTTGAGGTTGGTTGTGGTTCGAAAGGCGGGGGCAGGTGTATTTAGTTCGTTGGAGGGTTTGTAACATTTTGGAGAATATTTTTTTTCCAGGGGCATTTGAATATCAAAAGGCGATTTTTGAGGATATTTTTTTTTTTTTTTTCAAGAATATTCGCAATTTTAAAGATAGAATTTTAAGGATATCATTTCAAGGTCGTTTAAAAAATATTCCAGGCATCTGCGGAAGAAAAATTTTAGAATTATAGGGCCATGGGAATTTCAAAATTATTTGTCTACGAAAATTTAACCATTTTTGATTGAATATCTTTATTGACTTTTTTGCAATTTTTTTCAAGGAACCCCTATCCTTGGATTTTTGAGGATATTTTTTTCAGAGACTCCCTGACCTCTAAACATGGGATTTTAAATTATTTTTGGACGACCTTTTAGTATCTTATTTCGAAACCTGCAATTTTAATTTTTTTGGACCATTTTTAAAAATTAATTTTTTTATTGAATTTTTTGCAAAATGTTTTTCAAGAACATATTAACTTTCGATCGTTGGATTTTTGGGGATATTTTTTTCAGAGACTCTCTGACTTCCAAACATGGGATTTTTAAAATATTTTTGGAGGGGCAGCAAACCCTGGAATTTATAGTTTTTTTTTTTTTCATTTTCATTTCAATGATATTTGTCTAGGAAAATTGGACCATTTTTTAATATTGAATAATTTTATTTTACTTTCTTGAAATTTTTTAGGGACACATAAAGCTCCGATCATTGAATTTTTTAGGATTTTTTTCCAGATAATCTCTAACCTCCAAACATGGGTTTTTTAAATTATTTTTGAATCTTATTTCGAGCCCTGAAAATTCTAGAAAAATTCAACCATCTATATTTATTTTTATAGATTATTTTTGAAATATTTTTTTCAAGGACATTTAAACTTCCGATCCTTGGATTTTCGGGGCATTTTTAAAATCTTTTTTCAAAGCCTGGAACTTTGATTTTTTTTTTTTTTATAGGGACGAAATATTTTAGGATTGGTAAGCCATGGGAATTTAAATTTTTTTTCTAGGAAAATTCAACCGTCTGTGAATATTTTTATAGATTTTTTTTAAATATTTTTTAATGACATTTAACTTCCCATTCTTGGATTTTTATGCGCACGAAAGATTTTGAAATTTGTAGACCATGAGCATTTCAAAAATATTTTTCTGGGAAAATTGTACCATTTTTGAAAATGAAATATTTTTTTTTTCAAGGACATTTAAATTTATTTGATTTTTGAGGATATTTTTTCGGAGACTCTGAGTATTATTTTTCTCGGAATATTTTTATAGATTTTTTTTAAATATTTTTTAGGGACATTTAACCTACATCCTTGGATTTTAAAATTTTCAAAATATTTTTGGGAACCTCTTAGAATCTTAAATTAAACCTTTGAATTTTTATTTTGTTTTTTTTTTTATTTTTTAAAAGGACGAAATATTTTAAAATTATTAGACCCTGGGAAAAATATTTGGACATTTAACCTCTGATCCTTGGATTTTTGAGAATATTTTTCCGGGACTCTTTGAACGGGTTTTTTAAAATATTTTTAGGGGACCACTTAGAATCTTATTTCGAACCATGGAATTTTTAATGTTTTCCTTTTTTTTCAGAGACTCTCTGACTTCCAAACATGGGATTTTTTAAATATTTTAAGGGACCTCGAGCCCTGGAATTTAGTTTTTTTTTTTTTCATTTTCATTTTTTTATGCGAACGAAAAATTTTGGAACTAAGGGGCCATAGGAATTGCAAAAATATGTGTCTAGGAAAATTGAACCATTTTTCACAATTGAATATTTTTATAGATTTTTTGTAATATTTTTTTCTCAAGAACATTTAAACTTCCGATCCTTGGATTTTTGAGGATATTTTTTCGGAGACTTCCTGACCTCCAACATGAGTTTTTTAGAATATTTTTGGAAATCTTATCTGAAACCCTGGAATTTCGTATTTTTTTAAATTCATTTTTTATGGGGACGAAATATTTCGAAATTGGTAGGCCATGAGAATTTCAAAGAGATTTGTTTAAGAAAATTACCTTGGAATTTTGTAGTTCTTCCATTTTCATTTTTTTTCGGACGAAATATTTTGGAGTTGGTAGGCCATGAGAATTTCAAAAATATTTTTTTAGGAAAATTGAATAACCCAAAATTTTTTTTATGAATTTTCTGCAAATTTTTTTCTGGGAGATATTTTTCGGAGAATCTCATATCTCTAAACTTGAGGTTTTTAAATATTTTCGGGGCCTTTTTGAAATCTTGTTTCGAACCCTGGAAATTTGAAATTTCTTTAATTTTTATTTTTTTATGGAGACGAAATATTTAGGATTGGTACGCCATGGGAATTTCAAAAAATTTTTTCTAGGAAAATTCAACCATCTATAAATATTTTTATAGATTATTTTTGAAATATTTTATTTCAAGGACATTTAACCTCCCATCCATGGATTTTTGGGGATATATTTTCGAAGACTCCCTGAAATCCAAACATGGGATTTTTAAAACATTTTTGTTGGGCCTCGAACCTTAAAATTTTGTGGTTTTTTTTTCTCATTTTTTATGGGGACGAAAGATTTTGAAATTGGTAGCCCATGAGCATTTCAAAAATATTTTTCTGAGAAAATTTTACCATTTTCGGAAATTAAATATTTTTTTCAAGGACATCTCAATGTCCGATTCTTTGATTTTTTAAGGATATTTTTTTCGGAGAATCTTTGAGATTTTCAATAATATTTTTCTAGGAGATGGTTGAATTATCTATGAATATTTTTGTAGTTTTTTTTTTAAATATTTTTTCCAAGGACATTTTACCACCATCCTTGGGTTTTTAAATTTTTAAAATATTTATCAAGCTTTGGAATTTTGATTTTTTTTTCATTTTCACTGAATTTTTATAACGACGAAATATTTTAAAATTATTAGACCATGGGAATTTCAAAAAATATTTGTACATTTAACCTCTGAATCTTGGATTTTTTAGGATATTTTTCGTAGACTCTATGACCGAGTTTTTTTTTAAATATTTTTAGGCGACCTTTTAGAATCTTATTTCGAACACTAGAATTTTAAAATTTATATATATATATATATTTTTTTTTTTATTGACCATTTTTAAAATATATATTTTTTATTGAATTCTTTGCAGTATTTTTTTTATTCGATCCTTGGAATTTTGAAGATATTTTTGCAGAGACTCTCTGACTTCCAAAACATAGGATTTTTAAAATATTTTTAGGGGCATCGAGCTCTGAAATTTAGACCCCTTTTTTGTAGGCCATGGGACTTTTAAAAATATTTCTCAAGGAAAATTGAAACATTTTAAAAAATATATTTTTTTATTGAATTTTTTGCAACATTTCTTCAAGGACAATTAAACCTCCGAATTTGGATTTTGAGGAAATTTTTTTCAGAGACTCTGACATGCGAATTTTTAATAATTTTTTTTGGGGGACCTTTTTTAAATCATGTCTCAGGGCCATTCAGACATCAAACCCTAGGATTTTAACATTCTTTTAAAACTATTCCTTTTCATGGACATTTGGAACTCCGAGCCGGTGATTTAAAATAATATTTATTTTTAATATAAAATATTTTAAAATATGAAAAGAATAATTTTTTAGGAATACTTTGGTAAAATATGACCTCCTTTTAACATTTTCCAGTGAATTTTTAAATATTTTTTCAGATATAATAATAAAATCCAACCCTGGGATTTTTAGGAATACTTTTTTGTAGACTGTTTTTTAGTTTTTTAAGTTTTTATACCCTCTACCATACAGAGTATGGATGGTATATTAAGTTCGTTATTCCGTTTGTAACTCATCGAAACAATAATATATTCTTGATCAGCTTAAAATTCTAAGACGATTTAATTCTGTCCGTCCGTCCGTTGTTTCTCCCAGAAGTAGAAATTTTAGATACATTTTTTTACAAAATTGAACTCAATACTAGACTAGATTTTTTTTCAAGGACCAATAAACGTAGATTTTTTAAAGAATTTTGTTTAGGACCAATAAACGTGGTTTTTTAAGATTTTTTTCAAGGACCAATAAACGTAATTTTTTTTAAGATGTTTTTTTTCAAGAACCAAAAAAAAATATTTTCGAAGAACTACGAAGTTTTTTTAAAGGATTCTTTAAGAATTTTTAAAGGAACAATAAACGTGGATTTTTTAAAGAATATTTCTTCAACGACTACAAGGCGTGGATAACTAAATATTTTTTAGGATTTTTTTAAAAATTTGGATTATTAAAAAAATATTTGTTTGGGTTTTTTAACTTGGATTAGCAAAAAAAAATAGGTTTTCTTTTTAAAAAAATTTGGATTATTAAAAATATTTTTTCAACAACGAAACCTCCAAACCTGGGATTTTTTGGAAATATTTATGTTGGGACATTCTGGTCTGAAACCATGAGATTTTTTTTTAAACAATTGTGGTTATTATTCTAAATCAACCCTACTAATTTTAAGAATATTTTTGGCGAATTTATTTAAGAATCTTTGTTTTAAAGAACTACGCTGGAATTTTAAATATTTTTTAAAAGATATTAAGACACTTAACTCCCCTTTTTTTTGACTACTGGACAACCTCCAAACCCTAAATTTAAAAAAAAAAATATTTACAAAATTTCGAAACATGGAAATCATTAGATCGTATTTTTTTTTAAATAATTTGGTGGTCCTGTGGTTATTTTTGAAATATTTTTTTCAAGGGCATTCAGAACTCTTTTTTTGAGGACAGGGACTTTCTGACTTCCATCCTCCCAACCAACCCTGGGAAGTTTTAATAATTATTTTGAATAATTATTAGCCTCCTTAACATCTAAATTTTTAAAAAGTTTCTTTATACAATTTCGAAACATGGAAATCATTAGAACATTATTTTTTTCTGAATAATTTTGTGATCCTATGAATATTTCTGA